TGCCTCGCAGCGACAACGCGTGTTTCAAGAGTTTGGCTGTTGTTCAGCATTCTCCGCTGGGATCTTTCCCGTCGCAGAATTTCGAGATGTTTTCCCGCAGACCAGCGAGGATGCAGGCTGCTCTCTGGAGGTTGTGTTTTGTGATCGATACGTCCAAGACTACGATGACGGTAATTGCTCGAGTTCAGTAAGCATTACCGAGTATCTCTGCAAACAAGCGATTGTTTCCGTTGCGTTTTTTCAGTTATATGGCTGAATATGCGGGGAATTGTGGTATTTGCATTTTCTATCAGCAAAGTAATACTAAATATTGTATTTTGAGTATAACTGTTTAATATTATCATCAAATTTATTATGTTTTTGATATAATGACCCTTTGCCAATTTATGGATATGAATGTATGCTTCTTTTACTTTTGCCAATTTTGTAACGATTTTAAAATTTTGCAAGACCTCTTGTAGCAAATCTGACGGTTATACTATACATGACACAATGTGTTTAGCGATTATTTGCTGGTTAATTACATGCATATCACAAGTCCATATTCATGTGATATCATGTTTTCTCGGAAATTCTATTTCCTGCACAGTACTGTTTGATCTACCGCAGAAAATGTGTTTTCCTACTCTACAGTAAAATGTGTGTCACCACATAAATGTAAAGTAGAAACAATAAAAGTGTAAATATTCGTATATATAATGTACAATAAGCCTGCTTTATTGTTTTGTTAGTTTACAGTCCATTACAAGCAGTATAACTTTACTTGAGAACTGGACAAACACTGTACAGGTCTGTCATTATCTACACGGTATATATGAGCTATACACAAGCCATTACCATGAGCTTAACCTTCGTATCTGCTCGCAACAACCCTGCAGGTTGTCTACCACACTCACCCAATGCACCCATTAGACTGGCTAGTCTATCATTTTCATCACAACTTGGTCCTATTTAGTTGCACATTTAATGCCATTTAATTGACTATATTGATATCTACAGGTTACTTAGGGCAAGGGATGTGTTACATTTCTTTGTTCTATGCTCATTTTTGAATAGTGACTTGTGACTGCAAAGACATGACACATGATACATTTGAATGAGACTGTGTTGTGGCACAACGTTTGAGATAATTTGACATTGCTTTCGACAAACTGTTGCACAATGCTTATCGTTAACCTTCGATACCAAATCGTTTAAAACACATAAAGTTCCTGAGAACTTACTTGAACGTCACATAAGTAACTACACCAAAGTAGTCAATTGATTAGCTTCGTCGTGCCATTCACACTACAGCATTGATCAAATTTTGACCTCTTCCAGTCCTTAACACTTTCAGCAAGTCTTTGTAAATTAGTAAACAACAACGTGAAAGCAACATGAAAATCTGTCTTGGATTTGAGTCAGCATTTCAAAAGCTAAGAGTCAGAACAGACTTGATAGTAGACACATCATTACACAGGCTACCGAGAATCTTTCTAAACTGGTTAAACCCCAGTTTCGTCTCCCCCGTGCATGTTTTCCAACTTTACTTAATCGTGTAGTCATAAATCACTACCACATTATCAGTAGACTCACCCTCGCCTCCTTGTTGTACGCCAGTTGTAATCCTACGAAAGATATTTCATGGATAACATGCGAGATTTCTAGATTCCTCCTGTTTCACCGAAAAAGAGAGAATCGTGACGAGCCGGATGTACCATTCTTCTGACAGAGTCCCTCCTGAATGTTAGTGTATTCAGGCAGTTGAGCTAAGCTGCCCAGCCCAACCACTGACGGTTTTGTGGAGAGCATACGTCCGACTACTCGATGGATATCCTCTTCAGTAATCTTGGCTGCAAAATTAGAGCAGGAGGAACTCCTTTAGTTGTTACCTGGGAAACGCAATACATCCCAATACACTGCTCGCTTATTCGCTTGTCAACTTCGAACCAGCATATATGCACTTGTGAAATGACACTACCAAAATTGTGAAAATGAACAACGATAATACGACACTGAGATTCTGATTGCTACAGTACTTGTAAAGCAAACCTGAAGGTTTATGCAAAACATGGCACTACCCTTAGCTACAGTGCATCAACAACAAGCCAACGTAAAACAGTAAAGAAGAACGAACGCGATGAGGCGGCGGTGACATTCTCTAATTACCTATCTGACTGACGAAGTACTGTGGCTGCTTGTGGGAGCCGCTGGCCAGCACTTGCCGCGCAATGTCCTCGAAGATAACCGGACGACTCTCCAGGTTCATCATCAGCATCGACTGCAGTTGGGTTTTGGCGCGCTCGAGTTCCACTCGCGTCACGCTTCCCGCCATCAACGTAAACTCCTTCACAATGATGTCGACCAGCTCTTTCAACTGCAGAAATTGGTAAAAAAAACATCCATCGTGAGGGAGTGTAAAGTACATAATAGGAAAAGGGACAGGAATACGCATACGATATTGGCGATAGGTGAGACCGCAGCTACACTCCCGCCTAGCTGGACAGGCAACAGCATATGAAAATAAAAAAACGATAGGAATGTAGACATAATAATAGGGAGAAGCAAGGCCACATTACATTAATATTAAAGGACAGCTAAGGCCAACTATCATGTGGATAGGTTAGAACATTAACAATTTCATAGTATCAGGGAAGGGTATATCACGTGACAAAGGAATGATTATGTGACAACGTTTAATAACTGTTAACAATGGAACGAATTAAACAGGAATTACCACGTGGCTACGACTTACTTGGCTGGGATGAGCAGCAGCATGTATACAGAACACTCCACTGTCGTTGTATGCGTGATTGTATGCGGTCGCGTTGTAAATCCAATGATACCTACCAAAGTTTTGTTACTTACATTAAAGTGACGTCTACTTTACCAGGCCTTGGATATAAGGGCAAATTGTTTAAACGATATGTGTTTTTAAAGAACAATCCTTATGCTCGTTATTTTAATTGGGTAAAGGGGAAAAGAACTAGGTTTAAAGGGATATTTTCTGCCGAGCAAACATAGATGAACGTTATAAAACAATCATAAACTTAATAACAAACTGACAATTCTTGGCTTTTCAGCAAACTATTTCAGGCAGTTATACAATGATGCTACAGAAATATTCTTTTTAAAAAGCCAACTTATAATTGCTGCTTAATTTCCTATTATCAGTGTAATATTATTTCTGGATTAAATTATTGTTATTATTGTTGTTATATTATATTGTATATTATATAATATTAACTTATTATTATAGTTGAATTATAGTTCACCTGTTCAACACATTGAGGTAGAGTCGTGTGTACATGCCCTTGCCAGGACCGCCCGCGGAGAATGAACCTCCACCTCCCATCAGCATGTTTAGGACACAGAAGGCGACAAAGTCGGGATCCTTGTGGCTGCAGCTCTCCAGACCAAGCACAAAGTGGGCGAGCTCTGGGATCGGGGTTGGACCCATGCTGACATCAGACAGGTCCTTCTCTCTCTGTGGCACCACACAATGAAAGTGTCAATGACATTGTAGCTCACCACAAAAAAGGACACAAATGAGGAGTGAGAAGAAGTCAGTTTTAATTGAGGAACCATCGACGTACATTATAGAAATGAAGAGATATATGAGAGAACCCGCCATCCATATACTCTTGATAATTATGTGTAATTTTTTATGTGAAAATAAATGTTTGAGATGTGAAAGTCTGAGATGTGGGCGAGTGATGGCGTTACACCTAAATGATCGCCATTAACGTTTTTATAATATTCAGATTTAGGCACTGCCTAAAAGCGAGCCCCCGATGTGTAACGGTATAGAGAAGGTTGATATCAATCGTTTATACGAGAAGAGTACCGGTTACAAAAACATTGTGCGTTAACAAACAGTGGCTAAGTAGAACATGTTATAAAGTTACATACGTTGCATAATATACGATGCAATAGACAAGCAGCACACAAATACAAAATGCGTACAATAGTTTACATATCGTTTATAAAGTGTAAGGTCTGTAGGCACATACGCGAATACGCATTACAAATTGCTACGCAATATATACGCTATACGCAGCACCAATAATGCTTTATGCAGGCTAACATACACCAAGCACATGCCGACATAGCGGCTCGGTTTTCAAATGCAGTACATATTACGAGCGTGGAGTTCTGCAGATCGCAGGCAGGTCCTGGCGGTGTCCAATGGTGACGTAGCGTGGTGATCCGCAGCAGTGAGATCAGCGGAACCTGTGTGCTGACAGCATCGGGAGCTGTCAGGCACCGTGGAACCGTGTCTGTCTTCGTCGAAACTGTTCGGTATTTATACAACTGGAGGAATGCATGGCCTGAGCGTGGTCAAGACCTTGTTGGGTGCGGATGGTGCAATCCTGTCCTTCTCCAGATTTTTATGGATAACTGAAGGTGAGAAGCTGTGGACGCTTCTTGAGTCTGGTGTGGAATCGCGGTTAGTTCGATTCATGTTCAATCAGTGGTAGTTTGATTGTATGTTGATGATGTGTCGGCACGCCGCCATAAACCAGTGGCGTGCGCCTCTCAGCCTCGTGAAGGTGATAACTCTGACAAGGTTATTGTGTCACACTTTTGCTTCTTCTCCTGCTGCGGCGTGTGCGGCCTAATGATGCCTAAACTCGCATCAGTAATAGGCGTCCTGCTGGTTTGCACGTGTTTTCTCTCGAGGTCGTTGGTGACACAGATCCTCGAGACCACTTTTGCTTGTTGTTACCTTGGCTATTTGACAAAATAACTATACGCTATGCTACGTAAGCGGGCCGTGACGCTCGCTGCTCACGTTAGCTTGAACTAAAAATAACTATGACGTGATGTTGCTTTAAGTTAAACGACCCGTGTCACTAGTTTTATACTAGGTAATTAATTCGATATCAACGTCACTACACTACCCTCGCACTTACAATAGTTGCGAAACATAATCTATGGAGAGCAACGTCTCGAAAACATACATAAAAAAGAATATACCTACCGCTGCGGCATTGAAAATTATATGTTACACACAAAAAGAAACCTCAGGTCGCAATACTGTTATGTGATGGAAGGATGGAAGTGATGTAAATGAAAGGGGCTTTTGGAGGCGAGCCGGGGGGCAAAAAAGAACAAATAAATGAAAAACTGGACGTCTGATTTGTTTGTCATCTCGGTATTTTTTATTAGTATGCATCACATTTTTATTTTTTTCTAACGATGTTGTCATCGAAATCGTCCATCCGGGATGGATTGCCTCGAACCAATCGAGCTGGTTGTAATAATCGTCCAATCGTCGCATTGAGAGTCGTCGTCGGCAACGGTAAAAATGTTTGGGGGGCGAAGGTGGTGGCCGCCCCAGCGCCATGGTACATTTCCGGAAGCTCTGGCTCTGGCTCCGGATGTAGCCATGAGCGCTGCAAACAAATGTTCGTCGGCCTCAGCGAGGTCGGGGAACTCGGGTGTGTCATCGTCAGTGGGGGGGTCTTCTACCGTTAATCCGCTTCCGCGATGATAGATAGATGCGCCACTGGTGAGTGCCATGAAAGGGAAAGGAAAGGTGAGTACGGGCAGCACATATATATATATAGAAAAAAAACGACGTGACGGGCATAACAGTACGGCATATTAAAGTGACGTTGCAACGATCACTAGAATTCGCGAACCTGAGAAACCAAAATTATGTAAATATACGCGTTACATGGGGTAAATAAGATGTGCACACTGTGAACAAGTAGGTATCGCGTACAAATAGTATCAATCGTAATAAGAGATGTCATAAATCGATACGCGATACATAGTTATTGTATATAATGTACATATAACTATACATATTGAGTAAATAGAATCGCGATTTTAATTCAACGCTATCTAGTAGATAAAATAAGTTGCTCCTATAATGCATCAATACTACTTAGGTGTTGGCAGTGTTTTACGTTATACTGCCTCATATCAATATATCATTATCGTCCTATTTCAAAGGATATGAGCGCATTGTGTCACAGAATCTCATCTAGGGATCTCTCTAGGTAAGAGAGGATACAAGGGTTACAAGGAAAATTGGAATACATAGTTTATACGCTGATGTGGACGTGAGTTTACTGTCGTTTATAAGTGAGCCGTTCATGCCTCCATAGTGTACAAGCGAGCGCAATGGCTCCATAGTGTACAAGCGAGGCGCGATGGCTCCATTATCATAATCATATTCTACAGCTTATTCTGCTGATGTGCCCAACTTACGGATCTCATATGCTCTACAGCTTAGTCTGCTGAATCTGCCCAACTTATGGGTATGTCAATGCTAAATCAACATAACTGGATCACTTACGATTGTGGAGACGTTCCAAAATATAGGTAAAACTCTTCTTAACACTGTGCCTTATTCTGTCTTAGGTATCTTATGTAAAGCTACGCAATAGTCTTAAAAGGCTAAATTGCGTATACCACCGTAAGAATTGTGTGACCCATGAAGGCATAACTCACAATATACTCTTATAATCATTTATAGATACGTATCTCATAATCAAACTAACTGTGCCGGCGTCATTCGTGTAAAACTATATCGTGTTCACAACTATGTGTCTGTGTATGCCACTATAGTATCAGTATAGTATTCCACAGAATGATTGTTGAATTTGCTGGCCCGGCGCAAATTCCCTAGCACGTTATTACGTTGGTTGACTCACAAATCTGTTTCTAACTAAAAATGTAGGACGCTCTCCTACACTTGATAACAGATTCGTAGAGCAACGTCTTGATCCATCAACTCTTAAAAAAACTACCGACCAAAATCAAGCTATGTATTTCTTTAATAAGAGGCTTCATTTAGATATTAGGAAAATACGGAGGTATAGTACACAGGTATAGGTACTCAATCACGAGACGTACTGGCATGAAATCAAAATAACTGTCAAAGTAATATTTTTTGCGGCAATTAGAGCATTACCCAATCTATTTCAATACAAAATACGAAAGCGTTGAACTTACTCATTACATGATGAGAATTTGGCAGCCGTAGATCAGCACGCTGTGGCGTTTGAAGTGAGTGTTAAGATCTAAGGAGTAAAACACATGGTTAATATATATATACTGTTTAGCAACTGCTGTTTGTCACGGCGCCAATATAGAGAAGCTCGTGAGCTCGTGTTGATAGCCACGTGTGATCGTCATAGTGGGGTCCAGCTTCGTGTACAACAGATACGTGTGCAATAGCACTTAAGCCACAAACAGTATAATTAATGCTATAACCACTGAATACTACAGTAACTCTATTCTTAATAAACAGCATCAACATAATAAACCTACAGTAGCATATCTTATACACCAGGCAGCATACAGACATACGCTCGGTTTTCAACAGTACATATTTACGAGCGGGGAGTTCTGCAGATCGCAGGCAGGTCCGGCGGTGTCCAATGGTGGACGGTAGCGTGGTGATCCCCAGCAGGTGAGATCAGCGAACCTGTGTGCTGACAGCGCGGGAGCTGTCAGGCACCGTGGAACCGGTCTGTCTTCTTGTCGAAACTGTTGCGGTATTTATACAACTGGAGGAATGCATGGCCTGAGCGTGGTCAAGGCCTTGTTGCGTGCGGATGGTGGCAATCCTGTCCTTCTCCAGATTTTATGGAATAACTGAAGGTGAGAAGCTGTGGACGCTTCTGAGTCGGTGTGGGAATCGCGGTTAGTTCGATTCATGTCTAATCAGTGGTAGTTGATTGTTGTTGATGATGTTGTCGGCACGCGCCATAAACCAGTGGCGTGCGCCTCTCAGCCTGGTGAAGGTGATAACTCTGACAATGTTATTGTGTCACACTTTTCGCTTCTTCTCCTGCTGCGGCGTGTGCGGCCTAATGGACTCGGTAAACTCGCAGCAGATATATAGGCGTCCTGCTGGTTTGCACGTGTTTTCTCTCGAGGTCGTTGGTGACACAGATTCTCGAGACCACTTTCGCTGTTGTTACCTTGGCTATTGACTAAAAATAACTATGACGCTATTGCTACGTTAAGCGCGCGTGACGCTCGCTGCTCACGCGTTATGCTTGAACTAACAGTGCCGGCGGAGTGACAGCGCTCATCTAACATCTACTTGCGGTGACTCTGTGGTGGAGTGGTGGGATTCCATAGTAAACCCTGTTAGTCCCAATGTGTTCACATACACGACGCCAAAACAGTGGAATGCACAGGATGTTATCAGGAACCTTCTCAAAGGAATGTTCGTTGGGATCATATGAAAGTTGCCACGAGATGGCGGCTACGTTTAAGTGTCTTCAGATAAAGATGGAAGCTCCATCGTACGTATTAGCAAACACTTATTGCAAGACAGAATAGGAAGCACTCATCCATTTACCTATGCAAGCCTACAGGCTGCAATAGAGAGCTGCCACCTGTAACCAATTTAACGCAGGCAAAACTACACAGTACTATCACCGCCACATGCACTGGCAGGGCATACGTTACATGTAACATACCGACAGTACAGAATGCCATAGAAATTATTACGATTAAGGAGCATAAACCTGTCTCAGCCAATTTAGCGCTTTGAAATTTCACTGTGACATTGTAGCCTCATACTCCAGGCATACATGTATAGATTCACTAGCAAACCCCGGCAGTCAAATCTTTCTAACAGACAGTAAACAAATCCATGTTTAACCCTCCTTTTGAAGATCAAAGGTTATCCGACACTTACTCTTCGCATGTCAGCAGAAGGGACATTTCATGCGTCCTTTCAATAAAGCCATAAAATGCTAGTCACCGCTGAAACAAAAAAGTTTTTCAATCGCTCCGCCAGACCATGTCCTGCAGAAAATGTCTAAAATCTGCCTGTGCCCATGTACCTTGTGACCTGTGACCTCCATCTTCGGCACCAGTGATGGCTTTTCCTACCATGATGCTATACACCGACTATCACGAGCCTAGGTCGAGCCGTTTAGATTTGGCCGCAATTCTGCATTCTCCTAACCTTAAGTTAAGGAGTGAATGTTCCCCCTTCTTTTACACCTCTTGACCTTTGACCTTTGACCCCAGCTTCGACATCCAACTCGTTTTGACGATGCCCCCAACGACCCGAATATCATGACCGTACGTCGAGCGCTTAAGATTTGTCGCCAACTGTTGACGGACGGACGCACGCACGACGCCGGACGGACGCACGATCATGCGATTCTACCAACTGCATCGACTACGTCAGATGAGCTAAAAATAACCATTGACGTGATGTTGCTAAGTAAACGACCCGTGTCGCTAGGTTTTTATACTAGGTTAATTAATTCGATATCAACGTCACTACACGTGTAAGATTGAGAGGACGCTTATTCACGTAGCTTGCTATATACCACGTGACAATGGTGTTTCCCTGCCCATAACACAACTTTTGTCAAAGGTTAATTGTGCATGGAAGGTGTTAACTTGCGTATAGTTCTTCTAGGCGGTAGCACACGGCTTGCCATCTGTATATCGCAATAATATTTATAAACCGAAATAAATCACAATTTGGCACGGTAGATGGCGCTCATACCGCGTTTCATGTTTCTTAGCGATGGCGTTCCGAAAATAAATAGTAGCTGCGTCCCGACATGCTTGTAAAACTTACTCTAATATAGACATTTATCGCAGGGTGGAGAGGAAATGCCAATTTGGCATTAAAGATATTGTCAATGAAACTTGTAAAACGAACCAGGACGAGTGTGCAGCACAGACTGTTATCAGCGTGTCTATATAGAATGCTATATAATTGCCAAAACCTACTAATTTGCAACTTTTTTTAAATATCAAAACCTTTGGCCGCTTATTCATTCACATACCAAAAATGAGCAAAATCCGTGAACCCTGAACTGACTAATGGAAATTCCCATTTTTGCCAAAAATTGCCGTGGCTGTCGAAAGTACGTCGACTGGCGTGCTGCCAAAATAGGACGTTCAACACCTCTGCCATACGAGTAACAGCTAAACCCAATTTCAAACATGTGGATAAAACGGTCTCTAATTATCGTTGACGCTAGCCAAATGTTGACGGAAGGCGACTGGACGGACGGCACGTACGACACCCATGTGCAATAGCTCATCTTGACGATGTCAAGGTGAGCTAAAAAACAAGTGTGAGGTCACGTATCCTTACAGATATGACTCTCAACCACTCCCACACTGCGTCTCTTACACAGGTGGCTGGGGAGATGCCGACAAATCCTATACCACAAGAGACTGCAGTCTAGTGCAGACAGTATATTTCAATTGACATTCAGCAAGATCGGAATCACAGTGCCTAACACATCTTAACAATCTAAAAGACTTGTGGATTCAAAGGTTCGTGGATTTTGTAGGCTCAACCCATGCATTTAACTCATGCTGCATATGTTAGAGATCCCAATGATGGCTTTCAGTCAGTGTCATCACTATAATGCACAAACACACTGAGACTCTTCACGATCGATGCAGTATGAATCTTAGCTATGACCACATGCGCTTTCGTCACCTGAATGACTCCTCCCGTGTACTGTGCGGTAGACCTGTCACACATGTCCCTGTTTCCCATCACGAGACTCGTATCCTGGTTCCACACCGGCTCCTTCTCTACAAAGAACTTCTCAGCCATCTCCACCAGCTGCTCATGCTCGACACCAACACCTGCGTGAAGAAACGTATCAGCGTAGCCGTTTCAGTGTGGTTCAGTAGAAACATGACAACAGGAAAAACAGCAATTGCTATATGAATATACGAAATCACGAGGAATCATGTGACAATCATACATAAAATTGATTTATCTGTCTTTCCCAGTGTGGATTCTTACCAGCTAATACCATCCGTGATGGAGTGTAGAAATTTTTCAGGTAAGTGAATAAAACTTTCCTATCTATCACAGGTACATTATCGGGTAGTGGGAACTTTGGCAATCCTAATGTGTTATCACGATATGCCGCCTGGAAAAGAAATGCACAATGACATTAATCCAATGCATGCATCAAGCAAAGATACTGGTATGATTAAATCATAAAATAGCTATTATGATAGTCAAAATGCATTTTCCTATCTACTATTATCTTAATTATTACGATTATTATTATATTGTTATTATTATTATTCATTATTGTTATATTTCAATTTATATTTATATTTCCTCTCTTTTTCCTTTATTTTCTTTTTCCTTTTTCCTTTTTCCTTTACCACTACATTTTCCTTGAATTTTACATTTGAAATACAATCCATTGCATTTCAACCAATTTTTAGTTTTATGTCCACTACATTTTTTCATTTTTATTCCATTCTCCAGGTCCATTTCGTCATGGTTTTATTTCTATTTTGTTTCCATTTACTATATTTCAATATCCAATATTTTTGTCGCATTAATCCAGCCATAGATATACACAGAATACTATCCATTAGTAATGTATCCTATATTATAAGAATACATAGTATAATCTATGCAGGGTAATCTATGCACCTAATCACAACTTGGATCTTGAATTATCCCTGCCAGGTCCCCGTGACTCATCAACAAAAGACCATCATTAAAAGGCGGTTGCCATATTCCATGTCATGTCAACACTGAACATATTGAAAACTGCAGGCGTGACTATAATTGGGTTGGTTTTTCTCATAGAAAATTTAGAAGCATTTGCATTTACGTGGTATTAACACGTTATCGAATTATATAACAATATACATTAGAATACGTTAAATCGTGTTCTAACTTCTAAGGCTGGCAAACGTGGTCTCAAACTCTGCTGACACAGAGTCGGTGTCAGGCACTGCGGCCCCCTGCGGCCCGTGTCACTGGCCACATACGTGACATAGTCATAGATACAATAATGTAACCCAAACCCAGGAGGATAGGGTTACAAAGCGTCCCTATCCTTTTGTGTGGAGGAAATTTAGGGAACCCCTGAGTGAATCACTCAGGGCGGTTTGCTGGTGCGTTTTCAGAGACTAGAACTTCCAAACTGGGTTTATTCTCAACACAAACCTTTCTCTGCTATATTTGAACTTACTATGTATCACAATACTCTGTATTAAACTAATATAACCTGTTACAAAAATTTGAAGTGACGAGCGGCGGATATACTGAGCGCCATTTCTGTTGACCTGTGACGTACTTCGGTTTGAAGAGCGGATTCACCGACCAATCGGAGGGCGCTGAACACTTTTCGCTTCTTCTCCTGCTGCGGCGTGTGCGGCCTAATGATGCTCGTAAACTCGCATCAGTATATAGGCGTCCTGCTGGTTTGCACGTGTTTTCTCTCGAGGTCGTTGGTGACACAGATTCCTCGAGACCACTTTCGCTTGTTGTTACCTTGGGCTATTTGACTAAAATAACTATGACGCTATGCTACGTTAAGTGGGCCGTGACGCTCGCTGCTCATGTTAGCTTGAACTAAAAATAACTATGACGTGATGTTGCTTAAGTTAAACGACCCGTGTCGCTAGGTTTTTATACTAGGTTAATTAATTCGATATCAACGTCACTACACTACCCTCGCACTTTCAATAGTTGCGAAACATAATCTATGGAGAGCAACGTCTCGAAACATACATAAAAAATAGATATATCCTACCGCTGCGGCATTGAAAATTATATGTTACACACAAAAAGAAACCTCAGGTCAGCAATACTGTTATGTGATGGAAGGGATGGAAGTGATGTAAATGAAAGGGGCTTTTGGGAGGCGAGCCAGGGGGCAAAAAAGAACAAAATAAATGAAAAACTGGACGTCCTGATTTTGTTTGTCATCTCGGTATTTTTTTTATTAGTATTCATCACATTTTTTTTAATTTTTTTTTTCTAACGATGTTGTCATCGACAATCGTCCATCCGGGATGGATTGCCTCGAACCAATCGAGCTGGTTGTAATAATCGTCCCAATCGTCGCATTGGAAGTCGTCGTCGGCAACGTTAAAAATGTTTGGGGGTGGCGAAGGTCGTGGGCCGCCCCCAGCGCCATGGTACATTTCCGGAAGCTCTGGCTCTGGCTCCCGGATGTAGGCCATGAGCGCTGCAAATAAATGTTCGTCGGCCTCAGCGAGGTCGGGGAACTCGGGTGTGTCATCGTCAGTGGGGGGGTCTTCTACCGTTGAATCCGCTTCCGCGATGATAGATAGATCGCCACTGGTGATGTGCCATGAAAGGGAAAGGAAAGGTGAGTACGGGCAGCATATATATATATAGAAAAAAAAAAACGACGTGACGGGGCATAACAGTACGGCATATTAATAGTGAGTTGCAACGATCACTATGAATTCGCGAACCTGAGAAACCAAAAGTTATGTAAATATACGCGTTACATGGGGTAAATAATAGTGTGCACACTGAGAACAAGTAGGTATCGCGTTACAAATAGTATCAATCGTAATAAGAGATGTCATAAATCGATACGCGATACATAGTTATTGTATATTATAGTACATATAACTATACATATTGAGTAAATAGAATCGTGATTTTAATTCAACGCTATCTAGTAGATTAAATAATGCTCCTTATAATGCATCAATACTACTTAGGTGTTGGCAGTGTTTTACGTTATACTGCCTTATTATCAATATTATCATTATCGTCCCATTTCAAGGGATATGAGCGCAATTGTGTCACAGGAATCTCATCTAGGGCTTCTCTAGGTATAGAAAGGATACAAGGGTTACAAGGAAAATAGGAATACATAGTTATACGCTTGATGTTAATTGGACGTGAGTTTACTGTCGTTTACAAGTGAGCCGTTCATGGCTCCATAGTGTACAAGCGAGCGGCAATGGCTCCATAGTGTACAAGTGAGCGGCAATGGCTCCATTATCATAATCATATTTTACAGCTTATTCTGCTGTTTCTGCCCAACTTACGGGTATCTCATATGTTCTACAGCTTAGTCTGCTGAATCTGCCCAACTTATGGGTATGGCATATGCTAAATGCAACATAACTGGATCACTTACGATTGTGGAGACGTTCCAAAATATAGGTAAAACTCTTCTTAACACTGCCTTATTCTGTCTTTAAGGTATCTTATGTTAAGCTAACCATAGAGTCTTATAAGGCTAAATTGCGTATCCACCGTAAGAATTGTGTGACCCGTGAAGGCATAATCTTTATCAATATATCTCTTATAATCATTTATTAGATACGTGTCTCATAATCAAACTAATGTGCCGGCGTCATTAGTGTAAAGTTGTAAACATATATGGTGTTCACAACTATGTGTCTGTGTATGCCACTATACTGATAGTATCAGTATTAGTATTCACAGAATGATCGGTGAATTTGCTGGCGGCCGACGCAAATTCCCTAGCTACGTTATGACGTTGCTTGACTCACAAATCTGTTTCTTGCTAGAAAAAAATGTAGTACGCGATCCTACACTTAATAACAGATTCGTAGAGCAACGTCTTGATCTATCAACTCTTTGAAAAAACTACCGACCAAAATCAAGCTATGTATTTCTTTAATAAGAGGTATTCATTTAGAGATTAGGAAAATACGGAGGTATAGGGGTACACAAGGTATAGGGTATACACAATCACGAGACGTACTGGCATGAAATCAAAATACCTGTCAAGTAATATTTGCTGCGGCAATCAGAGCATTACCCAATCTACTTCAATACAAAATACGAAAGCGTTGAACTTACTCATTACTCATGATGAGAATTTGGCAGCCGTAGATCAGCACGCTGTGGCATTGAAGTGGAGTGGTTAAGATCTAGGAGTAAAACACATGGTTAAGCACTATATATACTGTTTAGCAATCTGCTGTTTGTCACGGCGCCAGTATAGAGAAGCTCGTGAGCTCGTGTGATAGCCACGTGTGATCGTCATAGTGGGTCCAGCTTCGTGTACAACAGATACGTGTGCAAATAGCACTTAAGCCACAAACAGTATAATTAATGCTATAAGTATAACCACTGAATTACTACGGTAACTCTATTCTTTAATAAACAGCATCAACATAATAAACACATACAGTACATATCTTATACACCAGGCACATACAGACATAGCGGCTCGGTTTTCAAATGCAGTACATATTTACGAGCGTGGAGTTCTGCAGATCGCAGGCAGGTCCTGGCGGTGTCCAATGGTGACGGTAGCGTGGTGATCCCCGCAGGTGAGATCAGCGGAACCTGTGTGCTGACAGCGTCGGGAGCTGTCAGGCACCGTGGAACCGTGTCTGTCTTCTTGTCGAAACTGTTGTCGTATTTATACAACTGGAGGAATGCATGGCCTGAGCGTGTCAAGCCTTGTTGCGTGGCGATGTGCAATCCTGTCCTTCTCCAGATTTTTATGGATAACTGAAGGTGAGAAGCTGTGGACGCTTCTTGAGTCTGGTGTGGGAATCGCGGTTAGTTCGATTCATGTTCTAATCAGTGGTAGTTTGATTGTTTGTTGATGATGTGTCGGCACGCGCCATAAACCAGTGGCGTGCGCCTCTCAGCCTCGTGGAAGGTGATAACTCTGACAATGTTATTGTGTCACACTTTTCGCTTCTTCTCCTGCTGCGGCGTGTGCGGCCTAATGATGCTCGTAAACTCGCATCAGTATATAGGCGTCCTGCTGGTTTGCACGTGTTTTCTCTCGAGGTCGTTCGTGACACAGATTCTCGAGACCACTTTTGCTTGTTGTTACCTTGGCCTATTTGACTAAAATAACTATGACGCTATGCTACGTTAAGCAGGCGGTGACGCTCGCTGCTCACGTTAGCTTGAACTAAAAAATAACTATGACGTGATGTTGCTTAAGTAAACGACCCGTGTCGCTAGGTTTTTATACTAGGTTAATTAATTCGATATCAACGTCACTACACGTGTAAGATTGAGAGGATACGCTTATTCCACGTAGCTGCTATATACCACGTGACAATGGTGTTTCCCTGCCCATAACACAACTTTTGTCAAAGATTAATTGGTTGCATGGAAGTGTTTACTTCGTATGAGTTCTCTAGGCGGTAGCACACGCTTGCCATCTGTATATCGCAATAAATTTATAAACCAAATGAATCACAATTTGTGACGGTAGATGGCGCTATACCCGCTTTGATGTTTCTTAGCGATGGCGTTCGAAATAAATAGGTTATGCTATTTGTAAAAACTTTACTCTAATATAGACATTTTATCGGCAGGGTGGAGAGGAAATGCCAATTTTGGCATTAAAGATATTGTCAATAAAATCTTGTAAAACGAACCAGACGAGTGTGACACCACAGACTGTTATAAGCGTGTCATATAATATGCTATATAATTGCCAAAACCTACCTAATTTGCATACTTTTTTTTAAATATCAAAACCTTTGGCCCTTATTCATTCACATACCAAAAATGAGCAAAATCCGTTGAACCTGAACTGACTAATGGAAATTCCCATTTTTGCCAAAAATTGCCGTGGCCTCGAAAGTACGTCGACTGGCGTGCTGCCAAAATAGGACGTTCAAACCTCTGCCATAGCAGTAACACTATACCCATTTCAAACATGTGGGTAAAACGGTTCCTAAGTTATCGTTGACCGTAGCCAAATGTTGACGGAAGGACGGACGGCTGGACGGACGTACGACAACCCATGGCAATAGCTCATCTTGACAATGTCAAGGTGAGCTAAAAACAAGTGTGAGAGTCACAGTTACCTTGCAGATATGACTCGTCAACCACTCCCACACTGCGTCTCTTACACAGGTGGCTGGGAGATGCCCGACAAATCCTATACCACAGAAGAGACTGCAGTCTAGTGCAGACAGTATATTTCAATTGACATTCAGCAGATTTGAATCACAGTGCCTAACACAATCTAAAAGAGCTGTGGATTCAAAGGTTTCGTGGATTTTGTAGGCTCAACCATGCATTTAACTCATGCTGCATGTTAGAGATCCCAAGATGGCTTTCAGTCAGTGTCATCACTATAATGCACAAACACACTGAGACCTTCACATGCCGATGCAGTATGAATCTTAGCTATGACCACATCGCTTTCGTCACCTGATGACTCCTCTCCGTGTACTGTGGCGGTAGACCTGTCACACATGTCCCTGTTTCCCATCACGAGACTCGTATCCTGGTTCCACACCGGCTCCCTCTCTACAAAGAACTTCTCAGCCATCCCACCAGCTGCTCATGCTCGACACCGACACCTGCGTGAAGAAACCGTATCAGCGTAAGCCATTTCAGTGTGGTTCAGTAGTAACATGACAACAGTAAAAACAGCAATTGCTATATGAATATACAAAATCACGAGGAATCGTGACAATCATACATAAAATTGTTTATCTGTCTTCCCCAGTGTGGATTCTACACAGCTAATACCATCCGTGATGGAGTGTAGAAATTTTTCAGGTAAGTGAATAAAACTTTCCTATCTATCACAGGACATTATCGGGTAGTGGGAACTTGGCAATCCTAATGTGTTATCACGATATGCCGCCTGGAAAGAAATGCACAATGACATTAATCAATGACATCAAGCAAGATACTGGTATGATTAAATCATAAAATAGCCTATTATGATAGTCAAAATGCATTTTCCTATCTACTATTATCTACGATATTATTACGATTATTATATTGTTATTATTATATTCATTATTGTTATATTTCAATTTATATTTATATTTCCTCTCTTTTTCCTTTATTTTCTTTTCTTTTTCCTTTTCCTTACCACTACATTTCCTTTAATTTACATTTGAAATACACCACTTGCATTTCAACTCATTTTTAGTTTTATATCCACTACATTTTTCATTTTATTCCATTCTCAGGTCCATTTCGTCATGGTTTTATTTCTATTGTTTCCATTTACTATATTTCAATATCAATATTTTTTGTCGCATTAATCAGCCATAGATATACACAGAATACTATCCATTAGTAATGTATCCTATATTATAAGAATACATAGTATAATCTATGCACCTAATCACAACTTGGATCTTGAATTATCCCTGCCAGGTCCCGTGACTCATCAACAAAAGACGCATCATTAAAAGGGGTTCCATATTCCATGTCATGTCAACACTGAACATATTGAAAACTGCAGGCGTGTGACTATAATTGGGTTGGTTTTCTCATAGAAAATTTAGAACATTTGGCATTTTACCGTGTATTAAACACGTTATCGAATTATATAACAATATACATTAGAATACGTTAAATCGTGTTCTAACTTCTAAGGCTGGCAAACCGTGGTCTCAAACTCTGCTGACACAGAGTCGGTGTCGGCACTGCGGCCCCTGCGGCGGCGTGTCACTGGCCACATAGTCCATTAGATACAATAAATGTAAGCCCAAACCCATGAGGATATGGTTACTACAAAAGCGTCCCCTATCCTTTGTGTGGAGGAAATTTAGGGAACCCCTGAGTGAATCACTCAGGGGCGGTTTGCTGGTCGTTTTCAGAGACTAGAACTCAAACTGGGTTTATTCTCACACAAACCTTCTTCTGCTATATTGAAACTTTACTATGTTATCACAATACTCGTATTAAACTAATATAACTGTTTACAAAAATTTGAAGTGACGAAGCGGGCCGGATATACTGGAGGCGCCATTGTCTGTTGCGCTGTGACGTACTTCAGTTTGAAGAGGCGGATTCACCGACCAATCGGAGGGCGCTGTCGTTTGCCGGATCGCTATGCACATTCGGATTGCGTACGTCACAGGTCAACAGAAATGGGCGCTTCGAAATATCCGCCGCTTGTCACTTCGAATTTTTGTAACAGGTTATATTAGTTTAATACAGAGTATTGTGATACATAGTAAGTTCCAAGATAGCGGAGAAAGGTTTGTGTTGAGAATAAACCCAGTTTTGGAAGTTCAAGTCTCTGAAAATGCACCAGCAAACCGCCCTGAGTGATTCACTCAGGGGTTCCCTGAATTTCCTCCACACAAAAGGATAGGGACGCTTTATAACCCTATCCTCCTGGGTTTGGGTTACATTATTGTATCTACTGGCCACAGTGCACACATTTAGACAGACCGCTGCACCCACACCGGCCACCGGCACTTGGAGCGTTTCAATAAAATATAATGCTAAATAAATACAAAATCTATTTACTACCAAAGTCTTAATGTTGCTATAGGCCTACTCTCTTTCACCTATTATTGCCGACAATTTTCTGTAAATACCGTCCAAATGCTCATCTGCAACAAATGCTGGCTGCCGCCATGGTAGCTCTGCCTCTAGTACTATAGCCAGCGTACAGTTGCCGCAGGGCTATAGAACATTTTATGCCAGGTTTCGTAACTGCACCCGTCCCCCAATGCTTCCACGAAAATGGCTCACAAAAACGCAAAATGATCAGGCTTTTTAACACTTATTTATCTACATGGACATCTCACCTATCTTTTTGAACACTTTCCACAACTTTACACCTTGTATTTACGCATTTATTCCTCAAAGTGCTAGCACTACTTGCGTTTCGTTTTCAAATGCTGTTGTGTACACGCGTGACGTCACCCAAAATGTAGACAAAACACATGGGCAGCTATGATGCGTTTTGTGAGGCATTTTTCGTGGAAGCATTAGGGGACAGGTGCAGTTACGAAACCTGGCATAAAATGTTCTATAGCCCTGCGGCAACTGTACACGGGCTATAGTACTAGAGCTACCGCCATGGCTGCAGCTGCACACGGACACATAAATATATACAGGTAGGAAAGCGTGCTGCCAAAATTCGCTTGACGCCTGCTTGATTTCACACGAATATAACACAAATATTCAACCATTCTACTCCATCTTTGTTTCTATTTGAAGAACAGTGTTCACTTGTTATAAAAACATACTGTTTGTGTTCGTAACCGAGCTGTGTCACGCGAAATCATACAAAGCCTGGCGAAATTCTCGCGTTCGCTCCCGTTGCGCAGTTTTATGTAAATGGCTGTCGGAATCAGGAAACACCCACCGGCGCTCTTCGTGACCTCATTTTTGCACCGCAACGCTGCAACGGTTTTGCTGGCGGCTTTGACAAGGCTCGTACGGGAGTTGGAAAGCAGCGTGGTAGTTTCCCAAAATGCAGTGCGCCGCCTAGAGCCCTGTACTTGCAGCCATTTACATAAACTGCGCAACAGGAGCGAACGCGAGAATTTCGCCAGGCTTTGTGTGATTTCGTGTGAGTCTGACACAGCTCGGTTACGAACACAGACAGTATGTTTTATAACAAGTGAACACTGTTCTTCAAATAGAAACAAAGATGGGAGTAGAATGGTTGAATATTTGTGTTGTATTCATGTGAAATCAAGCGAGCATCGAGCGAATATTGGCAGCACGCGTTCCTACCGGCTATATATTTATGTGTCAGTGTGCAGCGGCAGCCAGCGTTTGTTGCAGATGCGCATTTGGACGGCATTTACAGGAAATTGTCGGCAATAATAGGTGAAAGAGAGTATAGAAACATTAAGACTTTGGTAGTAAATAGATTTGGTATTTATTTAGCATTATATTTTATTAAAACGCGCCTGTGGCTGCACCGGTGCCTATCGGTTTCATATTCCTGGAATCACTGATTTTTCAGGGTTAAAAATCTACGAGGAGACTAATGGGTAATGGTAGTTTTTACCTATGACTGAGCCAAATGTAAAAGGATGAACATGTCTAGTGAAATAAAAAATTGATCGAGTGTTCGCACATGATGCACCAGACACGCCTAGTTCTGCGCAAGCTAACATGGCATCGTTAATCGTCCAACGCGTTACGAACCGAGTGTGAGCGCCGTGTGTCTAGGCTTGCAAGACACCCACCAGTTCCCACAGACATCACGATTCTCGTGGGAATCGGAGCGCGAGAGTGAGCGAGTGCCCGTGACACGACGCCATGTTTGGCGTCTCGCTCAACCTCAGCAGACCGCAGCGGCTGCTGCTGGGCATCTTCGTGCTCTTCCTCGTCGTCGTCATCTGGGTCGCGTCCGCCGAACTCACGCAGTACATCTTCAAGGAGCAGGGTTTCAGCAAGCCCTACTTCACCACCTACTTCAAGACGTCGCTCTTCATGCTCTACCTGACCGGCTTCGTGTTCTGGATGCCGTGGCGGCAGCAGTGCCGCTCCGCCGCGCCCGGCGTCGTCGAACAAGCCCTCATCGCCGACGACGTCGCCACGGCGGAGTCCGACCAGCTGATCAGCGACCCGCAGTTTGTCCCCGTGCGATTCAGCGACTCGGAGATCGAGCGGGCGAGCGGCACCGAGTCGGACGACTCGAACATGAGTCTCCCGCGCGCCGTCCGCTTCAGCAAGGTCAAGGAGGTGCGGCAGCTGTCGGAGTCACAGGGGGAGGAAGCAAACCTTGCGCGGCTCTCGTACAGCGCGTCCGTGCGAGCCGAGGAGCTCATCAAGCGCGCCGCAAACAAGCTGACCATCCGGCAGGTCGCGAAGTTCGCGCTCATGTTCTGCTTCGTGTGGTTCGCGGCGAACTGCGCGTACCAGGAGGCGATTGCGGACACGCAGCCGGGCGTCGTGAACGTTCTCGCGAGCACGTCGGGCCTCTTCACGCTCGTCCTCGCCGCCATCTTCCCGAGCGCGGCCGCGGACAAGTTCTCGCTGTCCAAGTTCGTCGCGGTCGCGTGCAGCGTCGGCGGCGTCATCGTCGTCAGCCTCTCCGACCTGCAGCTCGACGGGAACGTGCCCACCGGCGCCATCTGGGCGCTCGTCAGCGCGATACTCTACTCGGTCTACCTCGTGCTGCTGAAGAAGAAGGCCGAGAACGAAGAACGGCTTGACATCGCGATGTTCTTCGGCTTCGTCGGGCTGTTCAACTTCGCGCTGCTCTGGCCGGGATTTCTCGCGCTGCACTACTCCGGCCGCGAGCGCTTCGAGTGGCCGACGCGGCAGCAGTGGCTCTACCTGTGCGTGAACGGCATCATCGGCACCGTGCTGTCCGAGTTTCTCTGGCTGTGGGGATGCTTCCTGACGTCGTCCCTCGTCGCGACGCTCTCGCTGAGCCTCGCGATCCCGGCGACGATCCTCACCGACGTGTTCATGAACCGCGTCGACTACTCCTGGCAATTCTTCGCCGGATCGGTGCCGGTGTTCGTGTCGTTCATCTGCGTCGCCGTGCTGTCTCACTACGAGACGTGGGACCCGATCCTCGTCGCGGTGCGCAAGCTGACTCACTGTGTGTGCCGGCGGCCCGCGCACAAGCTCACCACGCGCATGCGGGAGTTGGACGACGAACAACGCGAGAGCCTCATAGGCACGAACAGCCACAAGTCGTGAAGCTAGGCATCGACGACGCGCACGCACGCACGCGCGTACGATTGCGTTCGTGCAAAGTGCCTAGTTTCGTTGCCTAACTATGTTCCATCATCGATCAGTTCGACGTATGCATTCCTCGTCACAAAATGCCGATTCTGTACACACACGACTTCAAGTTGCATTGCATGAATCGATGACTTCGATGCATTAATGTCTATGTAAGCGCAATCCACCATGTTAGCATTGTTAATAATTTATTTCTTATTATGTTAAGAATAGTAGGCGTACTAAATTATATTGCTATAAACAAACCTTACTGTTAGTGTCACGTGTAGTATATCCTAATAGTCAGTATTAACTTAGGGGAACACTAATCGTAAAAATCCTTAAATGTACAATTTTCCTAGAAGAAAGTATTCAATTATAAATTGATCACACTGAATGCTGGTACAGGAATAATAGTAGCCCGGCTTTATTTCGAAACAATGGAAATGGTATCATGTAAACTTGTTTCGGGGTTTTGACTCACTATATGGGCTTTCTTGACAAAAACACTGGTCAGTTAGTCTTTCGGGGAAAAAAGTAAACTAATTTCCAGCAAGTACCATGTAAATTATTTGTAAACTATTTAGCATAGCGTAATTACCTAGAGTTGAAAGAATTTAGCTCAAAGGTATTTATGTGACTGAAAAATAATCCTATTATTCCTAGTCAATATACTAGTAAGTATTTTTGCAAATATGGCCTAAAGAGAGTAGGATAGGATTATCAGTCATCAAAAACCAGATAGTCTGGTGTACATATCAATAAGTATAAGGGACTCTTAATGTGCTAGTCTTGTCTTATCGACACCCTGAATCTGTCATCACACTGTGAACTGTAAATAGCCTGTAAATGTCAAAATTGTCATGATGAATCGGTAGTGATCAATCTATGAATGAAAACTGTGGAAATGATAATAACGAAAGTTATTTGCTAGGCGCATCCCTTCCAATTATGATGCAAAGCTGTGCTCCTGTGTAACGTATGAACAAGAGTTTCATTACCAACAGTCTGGTGGACCATACATAAGTCTTACACTGATGTAAACGTTTAAAGCAGAAGGTGAAAAATACAATATGAGACATAGCAGATGGTAATGCACATGTCCCTGGGCTTTCTTTTGAACTACTATTGAAATGGAGCATATTTTTAAGATGCAGCTATTTCGATATTTTTGTACATAGGCCCATTTAATTAATACTAGTTATCACATTTCCAATCTTCAAGCATCTTACTCTGAAAGGTGGGCAATTATGGTAGTAAGAAATGCCTACTTCTCAAATTGACTTGGTGTGACATACACCAATTTCAAACCAGGTTAATCTTTCAATGTATACAGCAATTATATGTTAAACTATGATCTCCCTCTTGAAACTCTTCTACACCTCGATAGACACCTGTTGATGTCTAATCTAGATATATGCATGTTATGCTGGATAATTTATGAAATCAAAGGCATGTGTAGCAGCTATTTATAGGTAAAGTAGATTGTAAACTGGAATTTAGGGGAAAATGTCGATCCAGTTTGGTGGATTAGGTATTGAAATGGGTGATATTGTACTTAGGTGATAAATATAGAGCCCAGCATCTGCTATGCTGTTTAACACACTATGCTGAATAAAAACGTTGTTGTTTTTTATATGTTGACTGTACCTTTCATTTATTTGCTGATGTTTGATCAAGGAAATAATGCTGTACTGGTGAAATACTCGCCATGGACTTAATTTCATAATTTCATAGTTTTTGTTAACGATACAAAGAGACAACATTTGGAAGCAGCTAGTGGGAAAGGTTTGGTGGCAAAGTTGGTGGGGTCACTGGAGGCAACCGGTATGCATACGGAATGTATTCACTAATAGCAGTTCTCTTTACTTACAATGCTGCATCAGAGCAACAACTACAATAGGAACAATGATGCAAACGGTGGCTGATAATTGGCAATTTTATGTCAAATTTGAATCGGGAAGTACCTGCGATACTAAATGCAAGTAGCTACGTTCGCTTGTTGTCACAACCACTTACTTCAGCTCATAGGGTCTATGTCCCCCAGGGTACTGCCGGAACGAACCCTGGTCACTATTTGATATGGTTAGGGTTAGGGAGTAGGCGTTAGTGGAGTAGGCGAGGTACGGTCTGGCATATTAGATAGTACCAGGGTACGTTCCGGCAGTACCCTGGGGGACATAGACCCTCTCAGCCTTACTTCATGACGTGGCTGCGCTTTGTCCGCATGAATGCACTGACTAAGGAATCTCTAATACATCACACATGGTTGACAGACAACATACCGCATGAATCATCTCAGTAAGTAAGGGTTCAGGATCTGGTCTCATCTCCAAGTCTTCCAGCTCGAATGAGATGGACATTCTCGCCTGGTCAACCTGTGGACATATAAACAATTTATGCACTACTAACACACACTGAAATGCAGCTACACGTGGTTGTAAAGACATGGTGGCATACACACGTTTAGCTTAACTTCATAGTGCATATTTTCGCTTGCTATTTACTACTTGATACATTCTTACCCATATTAAACCAACTGTGATACCCCGCATTATATAACCAATATGTTAACAAAAAAACGTTAAAAAAACGAAAATTTGGGATGTGAATCACGTTTTCCAATTCGTGAAAAAGAATAACAATTATGAATCCAAATAAGCATTTTTAAGCACATATATTGATGACTTAATTATGTAACACACTATCACAATAATACTGGAAGGTAAAATGACATTCGGACTTAGAATCACTGAAAAGGAGCGATAGAGGAACTATTACTAACTGGCTTGCTGTCAGGATCACTATCATTGTTAGGTTCAGGTGTTTGATGGCCTGACGTGAATGGCAAAATTTATTTAAAGTCGGTTATTGTTTATGGTGGATCTAGCTTCTCATTGTAAAGTTCACTGTAGCAACTGGGATTGTTTTGAACTGCTATTGAAAAAAAATACTGGATGCAGGTGGGGACGTTTTATGGCATTGTTGTCAAACTACCTATAGTGATAGGGGTACTTTATACAAATTAAATATGACCCAACCCACATGTTGGCAACTAGCTACATATTTCAATTTTCTAACAATTTTCTACAAATTTCATAAGAAAAAATTTACGTTTTGTACCCAGAGTTTATTCCTTATAATTTACAAAATACATGTGGGCATACGCCCCTGCATATACTCTACATTTATTGTAACGCAGAAGCAATTTCTGTTGACCCACTACATATTATGTACAGGTAGAAACGTACACTGTTTAAATTAGAATTTTTAATGATATATATATATGCACAATGTCGATAGATGCACTATGGCACAATTTTCATCAAAAATAATTTTTTTACCTCTTCGTCTGATATATTTGGTCTAAGAATAACATCTCCTAGAAGTTTTACTATCGAATCCAGACCAGATGTATATGCTGAAGCAGCATAAATACCCGTATCCCTGTAAAAGTCAATTGAAACATTAGCACAGCAATACAATAACTGTCATTAATCACTAACGAGTCTAGGGAGTCGCCTACGTCTACTCCCTAACCCTAACCCTAACCATATCAGATAGTTACCAGGGTACGTTCCGGTATACCGGACCGTACCCAGGGTACGTTCCGGCAGTACCGAGGGAGACATAGATCCTATCAGCGTCATTAACACCCAATGAAGGTATGCGGTAACAGTCTAACACACGTCTATTTACAATAATTATATAGACAATCCTAACTGCAAGAGTTAATGTACTTTGACTCTAACTCTAGCATTTCCTAATGGGACATTAGCATGACTAACGCTGAGAGGGTCTATGTCCCCCGGGGTACTGCCAGAACGTACCCTGGTACTATCTAATATGTCGGACCGTACCTCGCCTACTCCACTAACGAGTATAGGGAGTCGCCTATACCTCCTCCCTAACCCTAACCCGAACCCGAACCCTAACCTTAACCGTAATCCTAATCCGAACCATATCAAATAGTGACCAGGGTACGTTCCGGTATACTGGACCGTACCCAGGGTACGTTCCGGTATACTGGACCGTACCCAGGGTACGTTCCGGCAGCACCCTGGGGGGCATAGACCCTATGAGCATGACTAACCCATACTGATAACAAATTCTTCGCAACAACCTATGTTGACCACTGAAGGTTCAAATCTTGTATGGCCAGGACAAATAATATATGTTTCTCGCCCAATAAAAAATACCTGGAAATCTGGCAATCACAGATTCCACCATGTTTCTCCAACTCCTGCATGATCCGATCTCTATCCTGATATTCCAGTGATGACTAGAAAATTATAATTATACCGTTCTCATCATATTTTACGAGTCATTCTTCACCACTTTTTTGGGATAGACATTACACACGATATAGCATTCAAGTATTGTTTTGTATAGTTACTCTATGTAAAATATACTTACACTGAATGCTAGCTTCTCCAGAAAATGGGAGACACCACTGGGAAATGCTACTTCATATCTGGGTCCAGAATCAATGGCAACTATAAGTATAAATGTCCAACAACACTGTTATATACACAGCAAGAATCAATAAATGTATGTAAATGCCAAGATTTTAGTACTGCCGACTCAATGGGATAATAATTTCCCTTTCCAATGCTGCCTGACACATTACTTACACTATTGAGCAGCACTCAATGCTAATGAAAAAAATGCCCAAAGCTATAGCTATACAAATCAAGAGTGGTGCTATTCCACATCGCTAGTGTTCTACAATGCTTTCTTACACAATCAATTCAAAAGTGATTTGAAAAAAGATTACCTCCAACTGTGCAAAATCTTCCATACTTATTCTTCGATGCAACTTTTAATCCATTTTCTAGGACAGTTACTTTGGTATCTTGGTTGCTCTCTGCATGTTTTGAGTAAATAGCATTTGGTAGGCCTGGCAGGGTTTGTGATAGTAGAACCGAATTAGGGTCTACATTGCTTGTGGCACAGTAGCGCCTTCCAACTGTTGTATATAATTTTCTGCAAGAAAAAGATCGTTTTAGAACTCCTACTGTACTGCATTCACTGAGGCTGAGAGGATCTATGTCCCCCAGGGTACTGCCGGAACATACCCTGGGTACGGTCCGGTATACCGGAACATACCCTGGTACTATCTAATATGCAGGACCGTACCTCGCCTACTCCACTAACGAGTCTAGGGAGTTGCCTACGCCTACTCCCTAACCCTAACCTTAACCCTAAAAATATCAGATCTATAGTTACCAGGGTACGTTCCGGTATACCGGATCGTACCCAGGGTACGTTCCGGCAGTACCCTGGGGGACATAGACCCTATGAGCTTTACTGAGTACCTATGTCACTATCTGTTAGTTAGACTCCAAACCTAAATAAAAAATATGGTTGGATATAACGATAACCATCACAGAATTAACATGGTGGTACCTGTGCCGAATCATGAAAAATGTCAAAATTACACAGTTATAATGTAAATTTCAATTGTGAAATATTTAAGAACTATATAGTATAACCGCATGTAGACCGATAAATTGTGTCATAGAAATTTGACAACTATTTCTCTATTTCTGACCATGTGACATCGAACTTCTAAGAAATACCTACACATCTCAAACACTTGCTACCCATTATCGCTGAAGGGGTCGTTGTCGTATCTGGTACTACATATATGTACCCAAGGTACATATATGTATACCCAAAGTGTACCAGACTTGTACTACAGAAGTGTACCCTAACCCTAACCCTAAACATACCTCATATAAAAATATAAACATAATACTAAACAACCTAAAACTACCTCGGGTACATATATGTAGTACCTGATACGACAATGACCCTTCGTGCCCCATTATCAGCTTGTGAAATACATTTCATCGCCTTTTATTTTGTGAAAACATCGTGGCACTAAATGTTGAAAACTTGGCCAGAACATGAATAGTAAACTTGTAATGTTTGTTGTCTCTTGTGCTTGTGACATGTTCCTATCGACCAAGGAAATCAATGCTGGTCAGTGGAAGTACACCGAAATCAAGACTGCAATTTCTCTACTGACAACAAACAATGAAACTTTACGGGTTCACAAGTTCTGCTGTACATAAATTTGCCACTTTTATCTATGGGAGGCTCTCTTTCTAATCAAAATGCACAGTTCAAATAGTATTGTGGACTGCACATAACCTGACCGGTCTCTATACTTGTTTCACTTTGTAGCGAGCCTGACAACCTTCCATACGAAAAACCCTGTAACTTGAAAACAAATGCCAAATTTCGTAACTAAAACAATTGTATTATCAAATTCGACCTAACTTGTTACATGTTTCAAGTGTATTCTCACACATGGCACACTTCTTAACTTGTATTTGCCTCAGTATTCATGTTATAATCCAGTGGTATTCTATGTTATGAATCAAGCACTGATAGGAGTTGTTTTTAAATGTATTTCTCATTAATAAAAAATTTGATATGCCGCGAGCATATTTTTATTCCGAAAGTGCAGCCCAGAGAAAAAAGTTTGGGAACCACTAAATATAATCACACAACTTGGAAAGGTGTTATGTTTTTTAAAAGTTAGTAAACTCAATTTGCATTAATTTACTGCACATGTCCGAGAATAATATAAAACTGGCGAGTGTGCGAAAATCATGCATAATTCAAAGAGTGATCGACCGCCACCTTAATTGTTCAAAAATCAAATCCCAAAAATGCTTGCTGACACGTAAATACATTACTGGCAATAGCGCGCACATGGTTAAAGGCTCACAATGCGCATCCAAACGCTAATTTCTCCATGCAGTACTAGACTAGCAAATACTTCGTGTCATGCATAATCACACTTCAGCGACTACCTTATGGCAAAATAAACTCTAGTGCTCCCAATTTCACTGCCGCGTTGCTTAAAACCCACAAGAAAGAGGTGAGAAAACTGGCATTCTGGCGCAAGACGCGACTGTTTGCCAAACAAAATAGCTCGAGTGGTGACGTGACGTCACATGTTTTTATCTTTGCTGCGCCCGTACCGCTGTACCCGCCGCACGCTGCACGGTCTGTTGGGGATTGGGGAAACTGTCAACAACATCAGAGAATTTCAACAACATTGGAGGTATTTTCAAAATACCTTTTATAAGACAACGTGCAGTGAAATGGGAGGAACTAGAGTTATTTTGCCATAAGGTAGTATGATTATGCATGACACGAAGTATTTGCTAGTCTAGTACTGGAGAAATTAGCGTTTTGATACGCATTGGTCAAGCCTTTAATATGCCTGTGGAGGTACATGACAAGCGGTAGACGGCCAC